ATAGATCTTTTAACTGATTCAGCAACAAACAATGGTGCTAGTTACTCACAAAGATATCGGTTCGGGTGGTTACACAGGGAATTCACACACTGCAGAGCATCAGTGCGTAAATGCCACCGCCAGACTATGCATTCTGCGAGGCTCAGTTTTCGGGTTCCAGCACCACAGGAATCAGGTGGATCTCGCGCTGTTGACGATCCTTGAAACGCCGTACACGAGATTTAATGGTGGGTGCTGGCCGACTACTTGTGTCTATACCATTTCCCGGCCAAGTTGTCCTCTTGGGCAACAGAAATAATCTGAGGGGGCATTCAACATGAGTCTGCTCATTTAATTTGTTCCGTGCATAAGCCAGTCACTTGTGCAGGTGTGTACGTGTGCGTGTACAGCCCGTCGCCTTCAGCCAACGGGACCTCAGACGCACTAAGTCATAGGGGTGCAGGTGGGACGCTTCAGCTCCTACGCATGGAACAAATTAATTAAGCAGACTCATGTTGAATGCCCCCTCAGATTATTTCTGTTGCCCAAGAGGACAACTTGGTCGGAAAATGGTATAGATGTGTCGAATTACATCTAACTTCGGCTCCTCTTAGTACACACATCAGATAAACAATGAGTTTACTTATGAATGGAAGGATTTTGGTGAGTATTTTTGTTCGTCGCAATCAGCCGACAATTCGGATATGTCGACCAGCTATCCGGAAAAGCACCAGACGGCCGTTTCGCCCTATTGGGGCTTATCAGTGGTGCGCATCCTTCGGTCCTCTGCGGAGGATCGAACCCATGACTGTTAGTGGCTCTTGCCAACTAGCCCGCAGCTTATGCAACTGCGCCATGGAGGACGGTATCCGACTATCATGAATTGTTGGCTAAATGCGATATAGCCCGACGCATCCTCCACTGCCATGCAGGCACCTGCCATGCAGATGACAGCGGTCGGCCTTCCGGCAGCTATGAATCGACGCAGCGTTTTGTGCAATCCGTACGGGCGAATTGGTATTACTTATGAACGGAAGGATCCTCCGCAGAGGACCGAAGGATGCGCACCACTGATGAGCCCCAATAGAGCGAAACGGCCGTCTGGTGCTTTTCCGGATAGCTGGTCGACATATCTGAATTGTCGGCTGATTGCGACGAACAAAAACAATGAGTTTATACGGGCTAAGAAATATTGCTTTACAAGTCCTGTTGGCTGGACTGATGGGTTAAGGAACTAAAACAGTTAGTACTTTGAGCATCAAAAGAAAGCATTTATCGTTTGTTAGGCCGTAGTCTTGCACTTAGCGTAATTTCACTACAACAAAAGGCGACAGACAATAACTGCAAGATGTGTCCAAGACGTAGAACGGAGAGATAGGGTTAAATAACGAAATGTAAGTGAATGAGTGCGTCATCTAACCTTTTAAATATGGTTAGTGTATGTGCAGATACGACTGGTTCTGGAGGACTTATCCGCGGATGTTATACATGAACAGAAAAGGAATTACTACGATCCTCCAGACAAACATACTGTTCCTCGGGTTTCAGTCAGTAGGCTCTCAGTTTTGGATTATTGCTGAGTTGCAGTAAGGAAAGGCGTACGTAATACGGATCGCGTAGAATCAAGTTAACCATTACCATGTCGCGTCGTAATGGGCGATACCGCACGCTCGTATGGGGACTGTGCATTCCAGTGACGTACTTGGGAATCCAACATTGAGGCTGTTCTAGTGCACTGAGGTTATGTTTCAGTCACGGATGTCAGCATTAGATTGCAATTTGACATGGAGGCTAACATACGTACTGAGCATTCGTCATAATATAGAGGTATCTATTTGTCTAAACGCCCTTCCCATCAGAAGAACTTGTTGGTTACCAGATTTCAAGGTCTTTCAAATGGCCCAGAGCAACCTAAATGATCCTGAACCAGCACACCTAGACCAAGTTTGACAAATTGCTGATGTACATGCTATCCGAGTCTGTATGAGTGCTTGCTCTGTTAACACATGGAGAGTACCCTGTATTTATTCACTTTAAAATGCAACAAATTTTGTGTTGATCACTGATGTACCGTGTCTGGATCACTCCGAAGCAAACGGTGGTCGGCATGCCCCTGCAACTTGCGCCATATCTTGTTAGGGTCTGCGAATAGTGGGAAGTTTGAAGCGATTGCCTGTGTGATGTCATTAATAAATACCAAGCACAATCATGGACTTAGTACTGAGCGTTGCGACAAACTACAGTCGACTTATGTGGGGCCAGGTATGGAGCTCCGAACTCTGACCAGTGATTTCCGTTGGAAGGGTTAGTCAGAGATTCAGCTTAAGGGAGTGTCGCCAATGCCGTAATACTGGAGTTCTATCATCATCATTATACATGTCAGCTAGATGTGGTAAAACACCTCCGCCATTGTACCGCAATATATAAAGGAAATACGTACATACATACACTGGACTTCTGTACGGAGTATCCGATGATCTAGGCGATCGAATGCCTTCGAAAAATCCAGTTGCATCACATTAACGTCCTTTCCAGCGGTGGTTGATTAGGGTGTAACTACCTTGTGCAAGCGGTAAATTCGTTATGCACGATCGCTATCGATTGAAGCCGTGACGCTCGGAAGTAATGATGCTACCTTTTTCCAGATAACACACCAGCATCTCATCAATGATAGATTTCATGACCTTGAATAGTTTTAGGAGAAGTGCTACTGGGCGTTACTTTAAAGGCTGGGCACTGCTTCTGCTTTTATGAAACAGTTATTACCCAAGCTTCCACACGACAGGAACGTGGTTCTGGTCTAGACAGCTCTGGAAAAATTGAGCCAAAGGTTCTGTCAGTTGTGTTGGTGCTGTTCCCAGTGCAGCTGGACGAATGATACCTACTGACAGGGAGCTGTGGTTGCTCAGATAAGTTAGCTTTTGTGAGCCAGCCTAATGAAATGTGTGGGAGTCTTGGCGACGGGCGACAAAACGACAAAGTCGCTTCATGCAAAGACTCCCTAAACCGTAGGAGCATGTTTCATCCGTAGCGTGTTGGCTGCTTCTAAAGCCGTTCCTGTTGGGCCGTTAACCATCATAATTTGGGGAAACCTCTGCCTCAATTTTCATAGGCCTTTGTTGTGCTTGTACAGAAGCTTAGAGTTGGCGCAGTTTCTGCTAAGTTCTGCTGAATCGCGGCTGATTTCTGTGCGCAGTTGAGTGCAGTGCTTACGTTTGACTACGTAGTTGTCCCAAGTTCCTGGCGTTGGTGCTAATCTATGCGCTCGCTGTGCTGTGTTAAGCCATGTCATCCATTTCGAGTTCTGTCCTTTAGGAAGGAAACTGTTGTTGTCCCGTTGCAAACGCATGTTTCTGAAGCATCTGTAACCAGCCGACAGAATGTGTTGACGAAATCGAGCCAAGCGACTTCCCCGGGGAGGGTCTTCGGTAAGGAAAGACCAGGTAGTGGCACTGACGTGCTGGACTTATCAATTGTAGTTTGTGTTGATTTGCACCGTTTCATAGTTCTCATTCGATATTCCGCCTAGCAGGCGAACTTGAAACCAATGACTGCATGATTCCTGCGACCCAAAGAGTATGCATCAACAAACTCATCATTCCAGCACAGATGACCTGTTATTTGTGCTGAACCGAGTGGGCAAAATGACGTGATTGTAAAGCGGAACACTGGTTACGAGCTCCTGTAGATTGGCTTTGAGCTGTTCTCCGATCGTGGCAGGGGTTTCTAAATAATGTACCTTGAAATACCCCATGATACGGATGCAGGTGTATCTTCCCTTTAGGGTGTTTCTTAGAGCGGTCGCTTGTTGGCAGTCTGTTTCCAGTGTAGATTTGGCAGTACATCAAGGCAATAAGGTAAAGATCTCTACCTTTTAATTACAGGCTGCACCAAAGAGAAACGTGGAACTGAGATACTGAATTATCCATGGTCTTACACTCTAAATCACTTTGATAGTACATAATTATCCCTCCTCCTTTCGTAAGTCTATTGTTCCGGATGAGCGACATGCCCGTTAGCGAAACTTCATCATCCGTCCTTCTAGTGTGTACTCACGTCTCAGTGGTACCGATGAACTTGTATGGCTCGGAAGCTTGTGATCTTTCAGTTCGGCCAGATTATTGCAAATGTCCTGAGCATTCGTGTACAAGCAGGCTGGTCTCTAAAACCCACAAGGGGTTAAAGGAATCAGGTGTGGTAGAATGACGACCTATATAAGGTAATCCGTTAATCGCTTTTTAACGGGAGACTGATACCTAGTTTGTAACTTATGGTTTGGCCAAAGCACGTCCAAAACCTCGTCTAGACCTGTGTCAGAATCGATTTAAGGAGCAGTCTAATGAAGCGTCTGTCATCGCCGGTACATTTTCTATGGCAATGATTTCAAATGTTGAATTTGTTCTGATTAGCCCTGTATTGTCTTACACAAGACATGTGTCTTTGCGACCAGGAGAGCATTACATGTGCAGAAAAATCTTATTTATGTTGAACATGAGGTGATGATCTTCAGTCAATAGCCAACCAGCCATCTGAATCAGGATTCCTCTGGTGAAGTTTCAAGGACGCATCAGTCCAACTTGGGATTTTCGTAATAAATTTCTAGAAGCCATAACAGCTACTTTTATAAAAGAGTATTTATTCTTACGCCTAATGCGACCAGATAATGTGTACCATATATTGGTGTAATGGTATTTATTGTCATATCCGCATATCCTGAGTAATAAATGCATTTAGCTAAACCATTCCAATGGGAAGCAGACTCAACTTAACGTCTCACGTTTCCCACAAAGACCTAAGCTACAAAAGGTGGTGTCAAAGAAAAGTGAAACGATGACTCACTCATATAGTGGTAATCCATGAAGCTGTTTAAAAAAATATAAGTCTGAACATGTGTGTTACCTAGTGTTTATCTGGGTTTTTATTAAGTCACCGACAGTAGTTGATCAAAACAACTCTGAGGGCATGTTTCATGACTATGAATACATTGATTCGGCAAGGTCTCAAGGTTAACTTGAAGCCTCTCATGAAGTGGAGTTCCGCACTACATGGGTGATGGTTATTCTAAATATCATGCGTCGTTCGTAATGAAAATGAGCAGAGTTTGTGAACCTAAGAAACTCAAAAGTAATTGGCCAAGCAACGGAACCGTCAGGCCCATAATGAACGACATGTCAAAAGATATCCTGACTTAACTGACATGATAACTCCTGGAATTGTGTCTCTATCTTTGCTTACAATTCGACAAATCTATAGAGATGGTGAACTGCATAAAATAATGGTTTCCGCATTACCTGGCATGATACAGTACGAGAGGAGTTACCACGTTCCTCGCAAAATAACAGTCATATAAGAGGACGTAATGAATAGTGTGAGCCATATCAGAGGAGAGAACGATGAAAATGCAGGCAAATGCGTGTTAATGCGTCCCAGTGACAATGGGGAAGCCATCCGGATCAGTCGTGCCAGTGAGAGACAAGCACCGCTAAGTCACTGTGGCACACTGAGACCCACCACGAAACGCACACTGCTAAGATTGTTTCCAGACAGTCGATGAACGTTATTCGCACTCTAGTACTCAACCGCTGACTCTTGCACAAGTTCGTTGAACGTTTAAGTGCTGCGTACACTCAATTTTGTTCTGAATTGAAGCCTCCAGGTGCATGAGGAGAGTAAAATAATGTTGCTTGAGTATGTTAACAATAGATGAGACGCCTCAGCGACCCCGGTTTCTTCGACAACTTTGTGTATGCAGATGACTTTCTGGCACATTAGTCCTATATTACAAATGTCCTAATTGTTTCGACTTTGCTAATGGGAGCGATTTTCGCTGATAATATCTCACACACCGAGTAGCTGAATGAATCCTGATCGACACGACGAATGCATACACATACGAGCTGAAATTGGAGAGAAAACGCATAACCCCGCACCACTGCAATCGAGAAAAGACTGGCCGACATTAAGCATTCATTTACGGACTTAGCTAAAGGCGAACGTGCATTCCGCACCTTCGTCTGATTGCCTAAATGGTATAACAACTAATGCAGAACTAATGATTGAAGGTCAATATCAATACGGAACATGAGCTACTACGTAGTTGTCTTGTCCTGAGTAGAGCTTAGTGCAGCTGCAGACAGCGCATACAGCAACTCCATTTTGAAGAAGTAAGGTGAAATCTGAGCAGTTTTGCTGATACATAACAGCGGTGTCTATGAGGAAAGCTAATCTGAAATCTGCTGTGTGAGCAACTGAACGACGACAGGATTGCTCAGTCTGCTATGGAGGCGGGCTCAGGAGTGCTTTTCCCAAGTTTGATTGAACTAAGTAAGTGCCGTAACAACCTCTAAGCATACCACTTTAGAGATTAGCATGACCACCGTTGGAGTATCAACACCGAAGGAAGCTGTGAATTCAGATGCCCGGTGTGGAGGAGTATTTACAAGTACTCTATCAGGAGCTCACTCGAGTACTTGCGATTTATGTGTAAGAAGATATGTGTTCTACACTTGTGAGTATAGGTGTCATCTGTGTTGTTAAAAGTTACGACAACTGCGTTCCGATTTTAGTGACGGACAGGTGAGTACAGAATCTGTGCCTGACTCCGGCGGGCATCTTTGGATGCAACGAGCTCACAGCTGATGTGATTGAACTGAAGACCGCAGGTTACCTGGAGATGCGTCACACCACGGTCGCTAGCTCTCCGGAGTTTTAGACAAGCAAATAAGAGGACTTCCAATTCTGCGATGAAGGTTGACTTACTGGCAGTACCTCCGTCACGATGCACATCTGCAACGTCGAGTTATCCGCACTTGTTAATACTAAAACTAAGCCGTCTTTAAGCGTTGTCAGTGCATCCGATATGAGAGTGAACTTCAAGATAGCTCCGAGAGTCAACAACCTCATAGAGGAAAGGAAGGTTGCTCGTGTGTAATATGTGATATGGTTGGCGGCATCCGACTTCGGATATGCCTGTCAATGTGTCCTCCATAGGACAGCTAGAGGACGCCTGCGCCTACAGAGGGACCATGGGTGGCTTACGCTGCACCACCCACAGCTCCAATCACACACCCCATATCCAGTGTAAACCTGAAGGAATAAGACCGGAAAGCATGTGGATGGGAGCTACGTTTCACCAACTGAGCCGGTCTACACTCCTTCACGGGCAAACACAAGGATGCTGTATTTGGGGAATCAAGCGCACACAAGGCGGTCGCTGGACCGTAGTCCACTCCACACTGAGTGCATGGAACCACTCTTCGAGCTTAGTACCGTCACGAGAACCGTGCACCCGGTCCCTTACAACAACGACCAACTGTCTCCTGGGGCCAGTATGGACGATATGGTGGGTAATAGATAGGTAGATATCTTATTAATTTGCACACCAAGCGCATCCACACCGGGATGTCAAAAACCGGCCAATCCCGTGAAATGACAATAACAAACAAAATATATCGGTTAATGTATACGGATATCTGACAATCCTATTCGCTAAATGAGCATATGAAATAAATTGGTTAGCAACAAATCCACCATAAGTTCAAGATGTCAAAGAAGCTATTTACAAAATGCAATAATCGCTAAAATGTTAACGAAGTTAACCACAGTTGGCTTAAGCGACCGGTGTGAGTTTATAGGTCATTCAGGTAGACATTAAAATGAGGTAAAGAAGCATTAAGACAAAATATCAAACTAACCACCTGAAATAAAGAGACTCAGCAAGCAAGCACGCGGTTACGAAATGAGATGGAATTGTATGCAGCGGACCTACCAACGCTGCTCCGGTTCTGCTTATGCTTCCATCAACACTCGCCGTCGTTTAGGTATTGGTCCCGAGTGGTCTCGCTCGTGGCTCAGTAGACCTGCATGACTCAGGCTTTCGCCACCGCATGTGCAACAGCACCATGCCTTCGATGTCGAATGAGTACACTTCAACAACAAAAGATGCGGGAAGCCTGTATCCACTCCCTCAACGCAGCAGAAGGTATCGAAACGGAGCAGAGACCCTGTGCCAGTATTTCAAACTCCGTATGACCGGAGGCACGCGAATCAGCACCTGCTTGGACTCAGCCACTACTCATGCCTGAGGGGGCCCTGGCTGAGATTAGCGGAACATTTCTCGAAATATTTGCGTCAAATCCAACTCGGGTTGTGTTAAAAAAACAGCCAGATGTAGTACTGCATTGTCATTCGTACAAAGAAGTATCCCAACATGGACAGCACACCTACTGTCACCGTGGGTGACCTTGAGAAAGCGTGCGGTATGCAAGGACCAAGAACGTCTCTTCAGTAAATGGTTTACTCGCAATCTACTTTCTCTCAGTAAACTTTAGACGGCCTCATATAAAGCAGCAAAATGGAAAAATGCCTCTTTGTTCGTAGTAACCCCAAGTTCCGTTGTACGCTTGTGCTAGGATCTAAAACGATCCAGAGGTCTTGTCATGTGTTGCACGACATGGCTGCTGCGGTACGCAGCACAGTCGTGACAATCCCTCAGGTACATTCAGCAGCCTCTCTGAACAAGGCTACATTAGGTCAGAATTATTCGTCATCCGTTCGGGCATCGGTGCACGCTATTTATTCCGTGTGTCAGTAAGGTCCAGACGGACCTAGCTGGTAACACTACTTGTAGTAGACCGTCAAGTAAAGGTTAATATTGTGAAATGAGTTGGTCGGTTAGTCAACGACTCCTACGGTGGATACAGTACCATTGAACTAAACGAATATGATCCACCACAAAGCAACTCAAGGCGCAAACTGAAGTTGCATGCCGAAGTCCAAACACAAGACAGATACTTCGAGAACCCAGCGATGGTTCTTCTGACTGCATTAACACGGTCACTCACTGTGCCATGTGAAGCATCCGCTCGATTACCCCACGAAATATTATTGTTTCAGTTAATATCGGTCCATAGAGTTCTGTTCCGTGTTTCGTATTATAGATCAAATACTGAGTTGAAATAAGTGAAATTGTTTATAATCTGCTGGGAACAAGCACACAATTAACCAATGACAAGTAGTTATCATTAGATAGACTTAAAGGACTGCTCGCACAGCTAAGAGACCCATGTAAATTTGCACGATGGTCATGATATACCTGTAACAGTCTAGAGATTTCTAAACTTTTCTTGTAAAAAATTCAAACTAGTTCATTGTAAACGTAGGTAACCGGTGCAAACTGTTGAACTGGTTGCTGAGTCCGATTGCTTGAGTCGAACACCGCCTTTGCTCATTTCGACTGCAACGTGTGATAGGTCTGTGTGCTGTGCATTATTCATTTCCCCTAGCTAACAGCGTTAACAGTGTCGTTAGTCTGTAGCTAAGCACATAGGGAACTTTCGGATCTACAAAA